TAAGTAGCAAAAATTGATTAATTATCATGTTGATGTTGATGGCAACTTTATTGTTGTGTGAAAGGTCATTTTATGAAATAAAATAAAAGGCAGGTTACCGTATATAAGTAGCAAAAATTGAGGGTTATCATATAGAATTTCCCTTAAATTTAAGTATAATTAAATTTGAAGGTGAGGGTAAACTGGATGGTGGTGTTGATGGCAACACACCGGAGGAGAGTGAAGTGAAGGAGGTGGTTGTAGGGAGCAGTATGATAGGGGAAGAGGAGAGAGAAAGGATTTATTTTAAAAAAATTCTAGCCATAGTTAGTTTTTTAACTAAAAAATTTAAGTTAAAACACTCACTAAGGTTATAAGATGGAATAATATTTTAATTAGGGCCATTTTGTGAAATAAAGTAAAAGAGGGGTTACCATATATGAGTAGCAAAATTGAGGGTTACCGTGTAGAATTTCTCTAAGTTTAATTTATTTCTTAAAGGTTAATATATGTTTCGTAACACCTCAAGAATCAAGATGTATTCTTTTCTAAATAATAATACTCCGTATTTGAACTAGTACTCCCTTCATTTTTAAATATTTGCTCAATTTCTCCATAATCGGAGTTTTAGGAGAAATTGAAAAAAGTAATAAAAATATGGAGGTAGTTGGGTAGGTGGAAAAATAAAAAATTGTAAAACGCAAAATTAGTTGAGAGAATTGGATGGGAGAGAATATGAAATTAATAAAATATGATTTATGTTGGGTCCTCTACTTGAGTGAAATGAATTAAATATTGTAAAATCTTTTCAAATAAGAAAATTGAGCAAGTATTTAAAAACGGCCGGAAATGAAAAGTGAAACAAGTATTTAAAAACGAAGGGAGTATCATTTTAACAAATAATAAATTTGTTATTATTGATTTACTAGGTTATATTTCTATTCACCTACCTCATTTTCATTTATTTCAGGTCTAATAAATTTAGATAAATTAAATTTAGGAAAAATAAGTTTTAATAAAGGTTATTTAAGTTCAAATTAAACTAAATTAAGTTTTAATAAATTTAAGTGAAAATGTAGATCAAATAAATAAATAAATAAAGCCCGCTTCCTCCAAAAGTAAAATACTTCCTCCGTTCTTTTATTATCTCACCATATGGGTTGCGCACAATATTTTTGGTAGTGGAAAAGAGGAAGAGAGAGAATGGTAGAAGTACAACATTAACCATGTAATGTAAGCATAAACTAAAGAATCAAGTGTTAAAAGTAAGAGTATATTTTTATTTGCAGCGTAAACAAAGATATTTTTATTTCCTTTAATGAATATGATGCAATATTTGTAAAACTTTCTTAATAAATAAGTGGTATAATAATTATAAAACGGAGGAAGTAGATTAATAAAGCCGGTCTCCTCCATCAACTCTCACATACTTCTTAGAGCACTACTAATGGTGAGCATTTTTTCTTTGCTCATGGGCATATTTGATGAGCAAAAAATATGATCATTAACCACAATAGTGAGCAAATGTCAAAAACCAAAAAAAAGCCCATGGGCAAAATAAAAGACGCCCAAACTATGAGCATTTTCTTTGATGAACAGTAAAACGCGTGGGCCCCACACCAGGCAGAAGAAAATAAAAAAAATTTGGCTGGCCCCATATCAAAACGACGCGTTTTGATGAAGCAGCCTGAAAGGCGCTCGTCAAAACGCGTCGTTTTGACGTTGCTGAATTTTAAAAAAAAAATTCTGCTTTGACTGAGCGCGTCAGCGAGCTGGCCAAGGGGAAGAAGCCACGTGGCATGCGCAGTGTATTTTCCAATGAGAAAATTGTAGCCGTTTACAACGGTTATAATTTTTGTAATTGATTTTCTGAAAAAAATTATTTAATAAAAAAAAAAATTACCAACGGTCATAAAATTAAATTCTCTATAAATAGACATGCATTTTGATATATTTGATATAATTTCGTAAACACTTTAAATCCTCCACAATTTTATTTTCTTAAGTATTTTAAAATTATAGAAGAAGGTCTTTGTTGCAATTTACACATATTTAGGTAAATTTTTTTTTTTAATATATAAATTCAGTTATGTATTAAAATTAGTATATATGTGATTTTTTGAAAAAAAAAAATATAATTGCATTATGTAATTGAAGAAAGTTGTTGATATTTTCTTTATACATTACTAAATTTGTAGTTAATAAAGTGTTGCAAATATTGGGCATTTTTTTTAATATATAAATGTAGTTATGCATTGAAATTAGTATATATGTGATTTTATTGAAAAAAATAATATTGTAGGCCATGTAATGGAATTGCATTATGTAATTGAAGAAAGTTGTTGATATTTTCTTTGTACATTACGAAATTTGTAGTTAATAAAGTGTTGCAAATATTGGTTAAATTTATTTTAAATATATATAAATGTAGTTATGTATTAAAATTGGTATATATGTAATTTTTTCAAAAAAAAAATATTGATGGCCATGTAATGTAATTTCATTATGTAATTGAAGAAAGTTGTTGATATTTTCTTTATACATTACTAAATTTGTAGGTAATAAAGTGTTGCAATTATTGATTAATTATTTTTTTAATATTTAAATGTAGTTATGTATTAAAATTAGTATATATGTGATTTTTTGAAAAAAAAATAATGTAGGCCATGTAATGTAATTGCATTATGTAATTGAAGAAAGTTGTTGATATTTTTTTGGATTGGTTGTCATTTTAATTTGTTTTTTAAATTAATGTTTGTAAAAATATTTATCTTTTTTTTTTATGCAGAATCTTTTAATGGATCCAAACAACCCAAATTTCCGACAACAATTTTCGGGTTTTAGTGATGATTTCCTAACTAATCCCGAGTTTCAATTGTTCTTGCAAAGAATGGGCAATACATCTTCGCAACCACCTCCACTGCATCAGACACCCACTGAGTTTCCCCTACAAAACCCTGCTAATGAAGATTGTACACCTGAAACTGATCTTGATAGTAACACACTCTTCGATGAGAGCGAATAGGAAAGCTTACCAGAGACGCCGCATTATCCTCCACCAGTTCGCAGATTGGAACCCAACCAGGTTCCTGCACGAGCGACTCGTATTTAGTCTGTTGCGGAAGATGAAACTCTGATTGGGTTGTACTTGCAGCTCAGCGAGGATGCTATTAAAGGTACGAGCCAGAAAGAAACTTCCCTATGGCGCAATGTACACGCAGCATATCAAATTGCTCACTCGGAGAAGACGCATATAATTCCACCAAGACCTATGAAGAGTCTGACGTCCCACCGGAGAAGGTTGGCAGCAGACGCATTACAGTGGATTTCTTGCTATGATGAAGCGGGTAGACTACCGGAGGGAGGGAGTGGTTACAACGAAGCTGACCGTTTAAAAAGTTCTTCAAAACTTTTTCATCTCTCCCAAGGTCGCAATTTCACTTATCATCATGCAATTGAAATGCTTAACAAAGATCCAAAGTGGAGGCCAAAGGTGAGATGGTCCATGTCAAAGAAGGAAAGAAAAGACGCTTGTGATGCTGAGGAGGAAGGTAGTGCTGGAAGTGGGAAGAGGTCTAGAGATGATGCAGGGGATGAAACCCCTACGAATGGTTTTTCATCTGGAGGTTTATAACGACCAGAGGGTGTGAAGAAAGCAAAGGCGAAGTGTAAAGGGAAAGCAGTAGCAACAGAAAGTGGTTCGTCTGAGCTTAGCAAACGAATGAAGGAATTCGCTACAATTCGCGAGAGGGAGGCCATTCTGAAGGAAGAGAGGATAAAAATTGAAAAGGACAAGGAACAGAGGAAAAGGGAGGAACTTGACATTCACAAGATGAGAACCATGTTTGATATGCTGCAAACTCTGAAGAATTCGCCTACGCCACTAACTCCTCAAGAAGAGGCGTACAAGGATTTTTTACTGGGTAAATTACAAGGCTTTTAAGCTTGTTTGGCTGTTTTAGTTCTACGCTTGTATTAGTTAAGTTTAACATTATGCGCAATGTAGTATTTTATTTTTAAGTTGTATTAGTGGTGTGGTTAATTTCAATGTAAGTTGTACACTTGTATTCTGATTTTCCAATATTGAATGACAAGTTGTTTAACAAGTTGATTTCAGTTGTCATTGATACCGACATAATTGCTTTAAATCTTTGTCATTGTGTAGTCACTTCTTTCTGAATTCACTTTATTAGAATGCTTTAACTTTGTGTCATTGATACCGACATAAATTGCTTTAAATCTTTGTCATTGTGTAGTCACATTTTTCTGTTTTCACTTTATCAAAATGCTTTAACTTTGTGTCATTAATACCGACATAATTGCACTCAAGATTTGTCACTGTCAACTAGCATAGTATACCTATTCCGTGGCTGAAAATTTGATTCCTTTACTTTGTGTGGTCATTCAGATTTGTAACCATATATTCATTTGATATATTTGCTATATATAGTAGGTATGGCACATATCCACAACCACACCAATTCATCAAGTAACAATATTAATACATGATGTATTCTAGACCATCATCAAGCTCAAGTTCAAGTTCATGTTCTTCAAATACTGAAGAATATGATCAACTTGTTGATGAACTCTTCACATACCAACCCCCATCTGTCCTCATGCCCCAAACACAATCCCAACACACTTCAAAAACACCTAGAGGGGGTACGAATAGAAGAGATAGGGAAATTGGACATGCCAGGCTGTTTAATGATTACTTTTCCGATAATCCTGTGTACAACACCACCCAATTTAGAAGAAGATTTCGTATGCAATGACCTTTGTTTGTACGTATAATGAACAAGGTTGTTGAAGGTGATGTTTACTTCCAGCAGCGTAGGGATGCAGCTGGAAGGTTAGGTTTATCACCTCTGCAAAAATGTACAGCGGCGATAAGAATGTTAGGCTACGACATGGCTGCGGACGCCGTGAATGAATACATTCAAATCAGTTAGTCAACCGCTCGAGTTGCCCTTCAACGTTTTTGTGCCGGGGTCATTGATCAGTTCGGAACCGAATACATGCGAAACCCTACACCTGATGAATTGGCCCGAATACTGCATCAAAATGAACAACGTGTTTTTCCAGGCATGATAGGCATCATTGATTGCATGCATTGGGAATGGAAGAACTGTCCAACGGCTTGGAAAGCGCAGTACGCCTGTAGGAACAAGAAAGCAACGCTAATACTGGAAGTCGTTGCAGATCAGGATTTATGGATATGGCATTCCTTCTTTGGTATTCCTGGATCTTGTAATGACCTTAATGTCTTATACCGTTCACCAGTGTTCGATGAGGTTCTGCATGGTCGAGCTCCTCCGGGAAATTTTACAGTTAACGGCCATGAATACAACATGGCATATTACTTAGCCGACGACATTTATCCGAAGTGGGCAACTTTTGTTCAGGGTAACACAACCCCTCAACTTCAGAAAGATAAAATGTTCGCTGACCACCAGCCTGCTGCTCGAAAGGACGTTGAAAGAGCATTCGATGTTTTGCAAGCTCGATTTGCAATAATACGAAAACCGTCACTGGCGTACGATGAGGACATACTGCGGGACATAATGAAAGCATGTATCATTATTCACAACATGATTGTTGAAGATGAGCGTCACAACTACATTCGAGCCGAAGTTCTAAGAGCCTTCTACGAAGAAGATCAACAAGAATTAACACTAGCATCAACGTCTACAACGCCACCGTTTGAATTCAACGTAGGCCGACCTACCAACTTTGACTTCGACGCATTTCTACAGCGAAAAGCTTCCCTCCGTGATAGAGAAATTCATCTATCTCTGAAACGTGATTTAGTCGAACATATTTGGCAACGATACGGGCCACGTAATTAGGGAGAAATTAGCACGACTTAAATAAGGCCAAGTACTATGGCGTACCTACTTTTCCGTACGCAGTCGAGTTTTTTTTTTAGTTGTTATAGGGCCAAACCTAGTGAATCTCCGAGTGAAGCTCGTTTTCAATATCTTTCTATCACGCCTATAGGCAAAACGACTAAAGTAGCTACTGAAATGCTATTCTCACTCCAAAAAACGCTTTATTTTAATTCCTAAGTTTAACTACGCATGACGTTGCAAATGTAATTGGTTCCTAGTATTGTACCGCTATTTAAAATAAATAAAAATATTTAAGAAATTTTGAGCTTTTTTTTACAATTATTTCATATAACTTACTTAATTTAACGACAAATTTTAACGATTAAAAAGACACAAATAAAAAAAATAAGTTACACAAATTTAAACTAGTTTTTATTTTTTGGGAGTAATGTTGTTAAAATATAAATGAAATTAATAAATAAAGAAGTGTTGTGTAGGAGAGAGAAAGTAATGGTGGGGTATTGAAAAAGTAAGAGAGAGAGAATGGTGGGTGAGCATTTTTTTTGCTCACCATTGGGAGAGAAATTGTGAAAAATATTTGCCCATGGGCAAAATTGATTTGTTGAGAGAGAAAGTGGGTAGAGAGAGAGTGGGTGAGCATTTTTTTTGCTCACCATTGAGAGTGGTTAAACCTCCCATGTTTCTAACTTTCTAAGGACTACTTGTGACGCGGAAATATTTCCTGCAAGGCTTTTCAGACGAGCAGGAATATCGGTGCAATGGAACTCTAGTTTCGATTGTAACCCTTGCCTTCATGATTGCCAAGGTATTTATTTCTACTTAACATCTACGTAGTTATGTACTCGATCTATACTATATTTGTGACACTAGATCTTGTATGGATCCGATTTATAATAAATTATTGTAGATCCAACATTTGATACTCTAAAATAATAGTCACATTCCGGATAATATAATCAATTTTTTAGATGATATCACTAGACGAAAAAGGTAAAAAGGCACCGTTTCAAACCCCCCTAAGGCACCGATTTTGAACCGTTGGGGATTTGAGGGATGCCAAATCCCTAAAAATTTGGCACTTGTTCAAAACCAGTGCCAACTAAAGCAATTAGCACCGGTTAACCGGTGCTATCTACAGGCTTAACTGGTGCCAACTACAAAGGCGCGATTTTTTTTTTCAACGTTATTGGCACCGGTTTTTAGCATGAAACGATGCCTTTACCAGGTTTTTATTTTATTTTTTATCCTGCAATAAAATATAATAATATTAATACTAATAAATATAATAATAATGAGATCATGCACATCCTGCACCAATTTTAACATTATGATATTATATTAACAATAATTAATAATAATAGTAATAATTATTATTATAATAATAATAATAATAATAATAATAATTATTATTATTATAATACTAATAATAATAATTGAAATAATAACAATACATAAATATTGATAACAATCCCAAAATATAATACTAATTAGAAAAAAAATGTCATAATTACAAACAATATTAATCAGTAATGTAGTACACAAGTTCAAACAGAAATGAAATTTACAAATTAAATGTGATGAAGGACGCCAACATGTCTCGAACTTCATTAAGTTCTTCACTCGTGAACGGACGTCCCGTTTGTCCATTGAAAAATTTGGAATAAACAAAACGTAAGTTAGGAGTGAATTACTTAGGTTATATATGCATGTAAAAATACATTTACAAGAAAGGCTTATTTGACTACTATGATGCCTATTTCCTACATTTCTTGTCAAGTGAACTCATACTTACTCATAACATGTCATTATTACTTAGTTATAGCCTGTTAATGCTTGAAATTACAAGAAAAGAGCAAATTAAGGGTTTTAGACGCATTTCCAACCAAAATGGCCCAAGTAAGGCCTATTTGACTACAATGATGCCTATTTCCTACATTTCTTGTCAAGTGAACTCAAAGTTACTCATAACATGTCATTATCACTTAGTTATAGGCTTCTAATGTGCAAAATTACGAGAAAAGAGCAAATTAAGGGTTTTAGACGCATTTCCATCTAAAATGGCCCAAGTAAGGCCTATTTGACTACTATGATGCCTATTTCCTACATTTCTTGTCAAGTGAACTTATACTTACTCATAACATGTCATTATCACTTAGTTATAGGCTTCTAATGTGCAAAATTACAAGAAAAGAGCAATGTAAGGGTTTTAGGACCCATTTTCAACCAAAATGGCCCAAGTTAGGCCTATTTGACTACTATGATGTCTATTTCCTACATTTCTTGTCAAATGAACTCATACTTAGTCATAACATGTCATTATCACTTATTTATAGGTGGATAAGGCTTCAAATTACAAGAAAAGAGCAAATTAAGGGTTTTAGACGCATTTTCAACCAAAATGGCCCAAGTAAGGCCTATTTGACTACTATGATGCCTATTTCCTACATTTCTTGTCAAGTGAACTCATACTTATTCATAACATGTCATAATCACTTATTTATAGGTGGCTAAGGCTTGAAATTACAAGATATAGTCAATGGCATACCTCTTCAAGCTGTAGTGTGTCTGTACATTGACTCACTATGTCAAACATGAATCTCATCACGTATAGGCCACAATCAACTTCATTATCTTGTTGTGCGCACTAGCATAAGGAACAAAGTACATGATATGAATCAAACATGCATAGCAAATTAGCAACATATTATGCATCGTTTATTACGAAAATCACAATATCATGTGGCATTACCTTCAGTGATTTCCATGTAGGACCTTGAGGAGCTCGACTATTTATCTTCTTCATAACACTATGTAAAAAAGTAAGTTCAAATTTGATTATTATGACTAATAAATGAGTTATATAATGATAATCAACAATAGGAATTGAAGCTATATTTACTTTTGCAGTATGGACTTCACGAGGCGTTTTCTTGGATGAGGTAACCAAGCAGAATCAAAAAGGAAGATTGTGTTACTAGAAACACAAATCACCAGCTGGGTCCAGTGCAAACTACGTACATAAATTCACTAGAGACAAACAAATCAATAATTAGCCATGTACAACATATAAACAGGGGAAACAAATGAATTTGACATAATCAGACATACTCCTCATAATATGGGGCGAATATAGACTTGTCTCCCGCACGCACTGATTCCTTGATACTCCGTTCAACATAGTACAACACGTCAGTGTGGTTGCCTAAGATTCTAGTAGTGGAGATCTGCTCAGGGCATAACCACCCAATTTGACACGGAGAATCAATCTCACATAAGAGCTCCTAGAGTGCTCTGCATGCATGATATTAGAATATTAATGGAAAACTAAACGACAATCACCACTAAACTGAATAACATAATTTGAGTACTAGTTGAATTACTTGATGCATATTTAAATGAGGGAAATGTTAAGCATTGCACCACTTAGAAATTCCGTCACATCTTATTTGTTGAGCCATGCAACTGCATCATCATCATAGTGGAACATTTCCTTAGGTAGTGGAACTTGAATGTGAGTGTCACTAGGCAACACACAAACACGGTTGTGTAGATAAGTTAATTCCTTAGAGAGCGATTGAAGCACCGTGTCTGCAACAAGTGGAGTAACTTGCATAGCTGAACCTCGCGAAGAGTTCTTCTTCGACGCTTTTCCACTCTCCGACCGCTGTTCACTCCTCTTCTTTGGCACCGGTTGATCAATGCTTTTTGGCCCCTCCACCCTCTTCTTTGGAGTTTGGCTTTTCCTCGACATCTAATAAAACAAATCACACAAATGGTTAGAAAAGAATTCCATCTAACTCTTGGGAAGATAATTGGGTATAGAATAAAGCGTGAACCCAAAATCTTAATTACCTAGTTTGAAAACCGTATCCAAGCACATGGCCATTGCACAAACTACCTTTTGCTGCCCAAAGTGTAGTGAACTCATCCTCCTCTACGGGCACAAGTATTAGAATGTCCAAGAAAAGAATTCCATCCAACTCTTGGGAAGATAATCGGGTATAGAATAAAGCGTGAACCCAAAATCTTAATTACCTGGTTTGAAAATCGTATCCAAGCACATGGCCATTGCACAAAACTACCTTTTGCTGCCCAAAGTGTAGTGAACTCATCCTCCTCTACGGGCACAAAAATTAGAATGTCCTCGAACCCAACAACCACAGAATTGATCCCGACTGAATAATGTTGTGGCCTAAGCGGTCACAAATGGACCGTACCTTATTCGGCCGGTTGTGCACTACCATAAGCAACCACATTCACAGCTCCACTATATGATTCGCCCGAGTGTAGAAGTGCACAGCGGGTCTCTTCCTACACAAATTTGGAAGATCACATGTAAGAACAAAAGATATCACAAGTTGTTGAAATCTAACATTCTAAAATTCGAGTAATTTGTTGAAATCATGGCAATTAATAAGATAGACAACATAAAAGTGAGAACTACTTTTTCTAGTTTGAGGCCTATTTGTCCTACATTTTTTGTTTTTATTTTTTTGTTTTTAAAGAAGTAAAACAAAAAAAAGTAAAACAAAAATTAAAAGTTAAAAAAAATAGTAAATAAAAAAAAGTAAACGAAAACAGCAATACAATAACAGCAACACAGCAGACAAAAAACAGCAACACCGAGAGAAAAACAGCAGCAAGCAAAAACCAGCAACACCAAGAAAAAAACAGCAATACAATAACAGCAACACAACAGACAAAAAACAGTAACACCGAGAAAAAAACAGCAGCAACCAAAAACCAGCCCTTGCTGATCTGCTGACTGCTGTTCTGAGCTCCTGACTGTTGCTGAGCTGTTGTTGTTGCTGAGCTGTTGCTGACTGCTATTGCTGAGCTGCTACTAACTACTATGCTGAGCTGCTGACTGTGCTGACTGCTCTGCCTGATCTGCCTGCTCTGCCTGGCTGCTGTGTTGCTGACTGCTCTGCCTGTTGTTGCTGTAGCTGACTGCTCTTCCTGCCTGACTGCTTTGCCAGCTGTTGCTGTTGCTGGTT